GTTTTTCTCCGGTACCGGGAACTGAACTCACGACCTTGCGCTTGCCAGGCAGGCGCTTTGCCGCTGAGCTAAATCCCCAGCCCCTTAATGGTTTCTTAATATACAAAATACAGAAGTTTTACAATTAATACTTATGGTTTCAATACTTCTTTCTAACCATGAAGAATTCTGCAGTTGTACTGCTTCCAGTAATATGCAGCTTTCATCATGGTTATTGTTAACATGATAGAGAAATTATTCAACAGACACTCTGCAAGTACATAAGTGTCTGGCCCCATGCTATGAAGAGAAGCAGCTGAGACCAATGAGAACGGTATACAATTAGTTAGGTAGTTCTGATCCCTGACACAGATAGAAGTAGGTGGAGGGAAGACACTAGAAACTGATTCCCCCAACTCCCTTTAATTTGCACATTGCACATGTGCACACACACACAGACACACACACAGACACACACACGTGTGTACAGCAAACTCTAGGTAATGATGTATACAAACTAATACTTCAATTTGCCTCAAGAAAAGGGTAACTGTTTATGGCAGATGAGTAATTTAGCCTAGGAAACTTGTGTTAGTTGAATATTGATGCAAATCTTGATTCACTTATTCTTAAATAATGTTATCAGAAATTGGAATGCTGTTAGATGTTAGACATGGAACCAAAATAATGACAAAGCATATCACTAAATACTCTCTAAACTACCTGCACACACTAAATCATCACCCAACATCTATGGCAAACTATTACCGGTGTCACCATTTGCTGTGCAACTGAGAGAATTTTCCTGCTGAGACTAAATAAGATGAGGAAACAGCACCATTCATCTTTCTTTGAGAAGCCCACCCAATTCTGGTTAAAGTTATTCATCTTTTGTTTAAGTTTGACTATTCCTTCTGCTTACTCCTCTGTTGCAGTATTTACACATTGCATTTTAATTGTTTCTGTGCATTCTTCGGTACATCGTTCGTGCTGTATGGGTTTGCTGTGCTTCAACCCTATGTGGTATAAAAGATTCTATGAGGAGAGGGATTGGCCTAATTTGAATGCTTATGTGCCATAGAAGGATTCAGGTGTTTGAGTACAAGAGAGGACTGGGAGACTCGAGGGGGGCACAGGTAGATAATGTGTAGAGTATGATACTAGAATGGGTGATCTCAGGTAAAGGATGAGAGAATGAAATAATGCAGACACTGGAAAGGAGTAAGAGGGGATGGATTTAGGAGATGTACCTAGTTAAGAATTACCATAATTTTGAAAATATAGCCTCTGATTTTATTAAGATTTTTTGCATTAAGGGTTTAGATAGCATCAACTTTCTTCCTCAGGTTTCCCTCCACAATACTAAATATTAAAGTATTAAATCATTGATCTATTTTCCCCACAACACTAAATACCATATTATCAAATCATTGTTCAAATATAAAGTGTACTTGTTCATCCAATAATATAACAATGGTAGTGAATGTTTATTCTCATCAATATGTTTCTTCAGTTGAACAAATATGTGTTAAAATGTTTAGTTCCTAGATTCAAATATAATAAATTTTATTACCAAGATGGGATGCTAAGAAGAACTCAATAGTAATTAAATAGAAAACTGGTGCCTTGCTTTGTTATTGCAATTAGTGACTGGCAAGCTTTCTCTAGTGATAAACTGTATGGTATTTTATTAGTAATTCGGTATTTATGTGTGGCCTTTAACAAGTTAGTTCTTACACAGTATTGATTTTCTGTCAACTATATCATTATTCATGAAGCAAGACAGATAATAAGGTGCCTCTGACTTTACTGACAGAATGTCAGAGAATAAGTGCTTCCCTCAGAAAGGTTGGCAAAAAGAAATTTTGTTTGGCATTAAGGGTATTTTCATGGTCTGTCTATGTTACAACAAGAAAAAGTTAAAATTCTATCACTCAAATAAAATGTATATCTTTAAAATGTGAAGGAAACTGTAGAGGTAGAACTTCACATTTCATAAAATTTATACTCATTTGTTAGTTTCTTGTTCTTCTTCATCAAAAGAAATCCTTTTTCCTCAGAATAGATTAAGGTACAGACACCACAGAAATGAGGAACAATTCCTCTCCATTACTTGATGGGCACCATATCCTAACTTCTTTTTTTCAAGTCCTTTGTACTCTTTTCCTACTCTTTTGGGATTTTTTTCCTCTCTTTATTTTTCATTTTTGAATATATGGACTTTTCTCAGTCTTGTTTATACTGCAGAGATTCAGAGTTTATTCACTATTGTTGTAGGTTATCTTTGCAGAAGAGAAATAGACCAATCAGTGCCAATGTTCATCCTAATTAAACAGGATGCCTAATGAAATATGTTTGAATCATTTTATATAACAGCAATGAATTCATATAATATAAAAAAATGGTATTTAAATGTTTAGGCTCTCCTTTGCCTGATATTTAAATAATGAAAAATAAATCAAATATAACTTTTTTTCTGTGTAGCCTTATCATGTGACACTTGTAAACATATATTTCTCCTTTCTCTCATGTTCACTGTGTTTTGATTTTACATTTATGTAAATATCTATACATGCCCACTAGATTATTGGAAGTAAAAATCATTTACTATTCATAGAGTAGGGAAAGCTTAAGAAAAAATTAGCTATTTGTTTGCTATTTCCATCTGAAAGATTGAATATACAATACAGTTCTTTATTTAAGGGTATAATATCTTTGGCAATAAGCCAATGAAACTAAAGAAAGTGCACCAATTACTCTGGCACACAAAAAAAGGGTTTTTGTAACAAGTTTTATAGAGTAAATTTAATTTTAACTATGGATGAATTATAATAAGTGTATTACATACTCAAAATTAATAATTCTTTTGTAACTTGGCTTCTTCATATTTTTATTTAACTTAATTTTATGCCATTTAAGGTCAAGTAAATATATTAAGAAAGAAACCTGATTCTTATTAATGGAACAATTTGTATATTTTCATTTCATATCAGTGAACACAAGTGTGACATACTATTTTTGAGGAATTATATCAGGTATAAAAAAACAGGTAGCGTTCAATGTCCTTATTATAAGGTTGTTTAAATCCACTTAAAGAGAAGAAACTATATACATGTGAAAGGCGAAATACTAAAATAAATTAAGCAATTAAAGATAGCAGCATTGGAAATGGTATTAGATTGTATATAATCAATTTTCAAATAAATGTGAAAAATATTGTCAGTGCAAGTTCAGAAGAGTAATCCATCACTGCTAGTTAGCTTCCTCAAGGAAATCTTTATAACGGATAAGAGATTTAGCCTGTAGATTGAAGGATTTGTAAAATTAAGATAAATAAAGTTTCAGGACTGCAATTTCTTTGAAATAAGTTGAATCTGTAATCAAATGTACCAGGATAAAAAAAACACACACACACACAAAGAAAGAAGGAAAGAAAAAGACACCTTAGAGCAGGAAATTCTTGTTGAAAGACTAGAAAAACTCTCTCTAGAGGTAGGGTGATGTTTACATATATTTCATGACATGAAGAGAAGTACAGGTTTTTATTTACACTATTTCTGGTTTTGTAGACACATTTGTAAGTAGTGGGCAAGAGTGATGAGAGGATAGGAAACGTCTAAAGCAGCAATTCCCAGCAGAATAGTAGATTAAAGTTGTTTTGAATAACACAATCTTAAACTGGAATATGTTCTCTCTGACGTCTAAAACAAATAAAAATGGCAGCTGTAGTGAAATGTATTTTTGATACAGATTGGGCACTCATGTGGTTAACAAATGAATGTATGTTTAACCAATAATAATTTCCAATGTAGAAAAAATTTTATTTGTAGTGCACTAAAGTATTACTATTATTTATAGTTATAAAAACTACTTAGAGTTATTCTAATCAAAAAGAGCAAGGCTCCTGAAACAGGGTTTTCAGTTTTAAACAGGATAAATTAAAAGGTGTGTGTGTGTGAGAGAGAGAGAGAGAGAGAGAGAGAGAGAGGTTCAGAAAACCTTACAGAGTAGTGGGGAAAAATACAGAAACAAATCAGTGAAATACAACATGGGAAGTGACTCAATGTAAGTACGTATAGGGAGTTGTAACCAGGCCCACGGCGGAGAAGGCTTCCCCAAGCTGATGATGTTTGAGGTGAACCTTGAAAGGGGGCTGGAGCTCACAGGTGCAAGAACACATGCACACACAGAGTTTAGAAAAACATGCCTAAAGCTAGTGAAGGAAAGAACTGAAAATCAAGTTAGAAAAATAGGCCGATTCACTGAGGAGGGGTCCTTTTCGCACAGCTAATGAACCTGAGCTTTTTATTAGTTATAGTTACTGAATGATTTTACACATAGGTGTTATGCGAATGATTTTAGAAATATAATCCTGTTTGGTGTATTGAGCATAGGGTCGAAACCAAGGTAAGAGCCTCATAATAGAGCTAATGAGTTAGTTTACATTGGAAGAGATGGATCTATTATGAAGGCAAGGATGAAGCATTGGAGACAGACTCAGGAGATATTTAAGAGGCTGAATTGATAAGGCTACTATAGCCAATAATACTATTTATAATTATTGCTATGTCATGTAGAATGAAAGGTTGGTGTAGGTCTATAATAAGAGAAAATAAAATTTTAAACACTTGGTAAAGAATCAAGGATGAACAAGAGAAGGAAGTAGTTAAATCTACAAGCCCTAAATTCATTAATTGCCTTTAATTAGCAATTGGGTATTTCCACATGAGTAACTTTGCTGAAAAGTTATTGCCTTGTGTAGCTGTGGGATAACAATTAGCTAATAAGGTCTTTAAAGTACAAACCAAGATACTGAGATAACAGATGTAATTACAATCTGAAGTTAAGATAATAGCCAGGTGATTTATTGAGGTAGCACCAACCAGAGGAAATAAACGGAGAGAACAATTTAGACACAATATAGTTGTTATTTGCTGCAGTGTAATTGTGTGAATTCTTATATGTTTCAATGTGCATTTGTCCTCCTCTTATTTCAGCTATGACAGCGATAGCTGGTGTCCACCATTACCCGTGCAGACATATTTACACCAGGGTATAGAAGATGAACTGGAAGAAGATGATGATCGGGTCCCAACACCTCCTGTTCGAGGCGTGGCTTCTTCTCCTGCTATCTCCTTTGGACAGCAATCCACTGCCACGCTCACTCCCTCCCCGCGGGAGGAGATGCAGCCCATGCTGCAGGCTCACCTGGACGAGCTGACGAGGGCCTATCAGTTTGATATAGCAAAGCAGACATGGTAAATATCCTTAGAAGGGGATGGTTTCAACACATGGAAATGTCCTTGACACAAACTCAGAAGAAATTCTCATAAAACTATGCAGATGGGATTTTTATAATGCTGTATACTACTTAATCACTTATATGATGAAATGGACTACAAAAAATATTAAATAATTCAACCAGAGTCACTAGTTAGAGAACCATGGCCAAAAATGAGATCCGCTGAATTTCAGGCTAACGTACTTTGGCTGTACTGGAATCTTTTCTAATTTACAATTTAGCTTCAGTTAACTTATCCTTGAACTCACTTTTTAATGCCATAGTAAAGGACTCCTTTCAGATTTTTCAAAGTGCCTGTGAGGAATTCTGTATGTGGTTATGAATATGCAAATATAATGTTCTGCAACTCGCTCACGATCAGTGTCAGTTATTAGAAGATTTCTGGGACTGAAGTAAATAAATCAGATAAACAATATTAGTAGCAACATGTACATCCAAAAATAACCCTCCAAGAATAATTAAAAAACCCCAAGTTCAAGTTCATTTATCTGATCACTTTACAAAGTTCCTTAAACTATAGATGCAATTTATTCTGATGTCCTCCTATGTGAACACTGCAGAAATACAAGGAGAACCAATTTTTACAATTTTATTGAGTTGTTTTTTTCTTATATTCTCTCCGAAATAGTTATATATAAGCTTGGATACTTGAAAAAAAATCTTTATGACATGCCTCAACTTACATTCTGTTAATGTACACCCTGAGCTGAAAACTAGAGTACATTTTTAAAATATTCTTTGTTTTTCTGATAGTTCTGGGTACTGGGATAAGTTAATGATGAAATAGTTCTCATCTGATGTATTTGTTAACTATTTTTAAAGTGTAGCTAACGGTATGTCTAAAAGATACCAAGTACAAGAATATCTCTCAAGGCAGTCATAAGCATATCATTTTCTCAGAATGAGAGGCTCTTAAACATTTTCTCAAAAAGAGACATCAGATATTTCTCAAAAATTAATGATATCCTACTATTAAACAGTTTTATTAGCTGGACATGGTGGCACATACCTATAATCCCAACATTTGGAAGGCTGAGCTAGGAGGATTGCTGAAAGTATGAGGCCAGCCTGGGCTACACAGTGAGTTCAAGGCCAGATTGAACTCCATAGTGAGACCTTGTTCCAAAAAAAAAAAACCAAAAAAAAGTATTATTTTATAAAATATCACTATTTAAATTACAGCCAACTGCTGAAAGAATGATAGAATGTCCTTCAAGTTAAACAATGAAGATAAGTAATTTGGTCTTTTATAGCAGAGACTTTAGCATGTGGGTTTTCAAATTTGTCTGCTTTTTGGGATTATATGGATAACCTTAAAGCAAACTGATACTTAGGTTCTACCTTCAGATAAAGGCTGATTGCTTAGTCCAGGACTTTACTGAGAACAGCTGAGCTTTGGGTCGGTGCCATGAAGGTCAATCTGTCTTACTAGTTACATGGCCTTCAGCAACTTGCCTAGCATTTATATGCTATAGTTGTCCGATGTGTAAAATGATGGAATAATAGTAATCAGCTCATATATGAGATTAAAAGGCAGTTCCCCAGATCACCCCCATGTCTGTTACCAAGTACAAGTTTCAGGGGTCCCCAAGAATACCTTGATGTTGAAGGGTTCATTAAATATATTTATAGAACTGACTGGAAGCTGTTACATGCAGATTTATAGACTATCACAGTAAAAATATACAAATTAAAATCAAGCGAGAGACAAAATTTTAGTGCAGAGTGCAGGGAAATTCCAAAGGCAGAGTTTCTACTTGTTTTCTTCCAGTGGAGGCCTGAACAGCATTGCTTTCTCAGTGGAGAGTATGACGATACACAGGGAATATTGCTCACCAGGGAAATGAACATGAACCCTCTGACCTAGAGACTTTATTTGGTCCCTGTCACATAGCTAACCTCAATATCCAACCCAGCCAGAGGTCAAGCTGATATGGTGTGACTTTAATTCCCACAGCCTTCCCCATAGATTGTTTTGTTCAACTTTCTGGAGTAGCCTAAGACGTGCAGGTAAAGCGAGATCCTTCGACCAGCCAGAAAATCCTAAGGGCTTAGATATTGCCTCCAAGGAATAGAGGGAAGAGGAGCAGTCTCTCTTGGGTCAAGGTTAAATTTTTAGTTGTATACCATAGTTTTTGAGAGAATTAAATGAGCTTTCATTTGTATAGTACTTAGGAAATGACTATATATATTTTGCCTGTTATTCAGAAGGGCTTGGGTTTGCACTTGAGTTGTTCAGTGATCTCTTGCACACTTAGGGAAGATTTTTCACTTAGAAAGTGCTCAGTAGGTATTTGCTAAATGGATGCACAAACATCAATGTTTGTTCCTCCTCTCAGTATGAGGACTTATTTCTGTCTTCTGAGTATATACCTACTTAATCCAGCATCCTTGCAGAATGCCTGGGCTGGCTCCACATGTGGGAAAATGAGCCTCCATGTGACCATACAGGACTTTGCCCTTCTGGTTTAGAAGTGGCTTTTCCTCAGGGTTGTGTATCAACTTCACAAGGTGTCTGTTTAAAAGATAATAATTCCCAGCCTCCAGCTCCAGGAGTTGTAATTTATAAAGATTGGTGAAATGTGCAGTATGGTCCATCCTACTAGAGGATATTTATAAGTGTTATGTATGCTGATCCGGTACTCCACTTTATCTCCCAATTCTGCTTAATTTAAGGATCACTTGTTTTCATCCCCTTGAATTTTTCCAGCAGTGTCAGTCATGATATCAGTCTGGAATGTTGGTGCGATCCCTCTTATACAAAACCAAAGTCCATACTGATACAGAAAATTGATTCACGTCTATAAATATCACTTTATATCCTGTTGCTCACCACTTGGATCTCTCTACTCTGATTCACAAACAGAATTTGAAGCCACACTTACTGACTATGTGCTACTCCATTTGCAAAGTTTTGTGTAATAGATTTTAGGAAACTTGCTTTTTCTTTCTGACTTTTAAATCAATGGGTAATGCTGAATATCACAGATAACTTGGGACCTCCAGTTCCTGGTCTGCTTTATTGGAAATTTGGGTTTTATGATATTGTTGTAGCCTCCAGAACTAACAGTTTTGGGATTCTCAGTATGAAGAGATTGAGAATCCTTTTAAAACTGGACTCTGTTCCATATTCAAAAGCACATTTGGGAGAGGAATATTATGTTAATTCTAGAAAACTGTAATATTTCCCAAAAGAATACAAAGGAAAAGAAACATAATCTTATATCTTTCACTCATAAAACAATAGGAAAATGCCTTGCACTTACTTTTAATCTTCCTTCAATAAGAGGATTCTTGAAAATACTCTTGTGTGAAAGCGATAAAAAGGCTCATTTGTTCAAAACATGTAATATGTTCACTCTGAGGGCAGTTGCCAGTAATGAATTGCTTTTGTTGAGCATTTTATAGGTTAAAAAGAAAACTCTTATGTAGTCTCAAATCAAATCAACTGGATTCCAGGGTCCAGCTACACATTTTATTAGCCAACTAGTATAAAATATGTCACTTAAATTTTTGTCACTCTAAGACCTTCTAAAAGAGGCCTGAGAACACATGTCAACTTCCTTCAAAAGGCTGAAATTAAATTATTTACTCATTGAAAGGGTTTCTTCAACAAACCCTTCATTCTGAACACAGCAAATGCAGAGATGAATCTGTTCTGCTTTAGAGGAGTTAAAGACTACAGTGGGTGAGCTAGTTCAAAACAGGAAGACAGAGCCCAAAGCAGCTGTGCCTGCCCTAAACTGGATAAATGCACACAAACACTCAGTCTGGGGCTGGGCAAATAGCTCAGGGGCACTGCACCTGCCTGGCAAGCGCAAGGTCCTGAGTTCAATTCCAGGTACCACCCCCAAACGAAACAAACAGTCTGACGTGGGGGGGATCATGAAGAAAGAATCCTCCTAGGGCAAGACCTAAGCTGAGGTGGAGCCAAGGAGGCCTCAGACCCTTAAGTGACAGCTTTTCTTTACTGAGGCTAGAAAGCTCATAGGTAGGGCAGGTTACTTAGAACTTCATCACTAAACTAAAAAATAATTACATTCCTTTTTGAGGAGAAGGTTAACTTTAGCTACTAGTGACAAATATTCCTATGCTCCTATGTGTTAGATACTTATGCAAAAATACTAAATTTGTATTTTTTCTCTGTGTATGATCCTCTAAATATTAGTAGAGGAATTTATTAGCCTGTGTTGTTATTTAGCCTATGTTGTTATTTATTAGCCTATGTTATTATTTAACATATGCCCTATGTTGTAGGGCATATGTCCATCACTCATTGTCTTTTCTGAATATAAGAAAAACACTGAACTCTCCAAAATTAGTTCAAGGTAACAAAGACAGTACCAGGTACTAAAGCATGCCATTTAATCCTAATTATAATTGTGTTGAATGCTAATGCAATTTCTTTCTTTGTTTTCATTTGAATTCTAGGCACATTCAAAGCAATAATCAACCTCCACAGCCCCCTGTTCCACCATTAGGTTATGTGTCTGGAGCCTTGATTTCTGACTTGGAAACAGATGTTCCAGATGATGATGCTGATGATGAAGAGGAAGCTTTAGAAATGCCCAGGCCCCTGAGAGCACTGGAGCAGACCCCAGGATCCAGTATGGACAATCTAGACAGCTCTGTGACAGGTAATGGAACTTATTTAAGAGGAATAACTGACCTATTTGCAACAGTAAAATGCATCAAAAATCAAATACTTTCTTATGTAAGATTTATTCCCCTCCATCCATTCCTGTAACGTTTTAAATATGTTAATGTTAAACACAAAATTCAAAAAGGATTTGGAAATACTTTCACTTTGCTGCAAAAATGATAAGAAAATTCATGAATTTTAAGAAGCTTTAAAGACATGAAAGAAAACTCAATTATATCCAGTGCTTTCATGAAAAGTTCACCCTGCTAGGGAACCAAGTCTATTACATAAAAGAAAAAACCTTGACTTTCAGAAATGATATATTTTGTATATCAAGAGCAACACACACAGTGAATGCAATCTTAAAATACTTCTCGATATTTCACTCTGTAAAATCATTCACTGGTGAAAATAAGCAAATCTTCAGAATAAGCCTCTCTTAGGTTATACAAAGTAGTTGTAGAGTGGAAAATGTATAGTGAGATAAACCCCACATTTACAAATTTCATATTGGTGAACCCAGTAATCGCTCCTGTCCCAAAAAGTATAATCCTTTTGAATGTTTACCTTTTGGCTTCCTCTTGCCTTGGCCACCAAGTGAAAGACTTCAATTGGTGCTGCCCCATTATGATCATAGGACTGATACATGACCTCTTTGCAAGGATTTAAATTACATTTTAAATCCAAAGGTTTCCACAATGAATATGGAGGAAAATAAAAGTTTAGTATTTCCATTCATCCATTTATCCATTTTTGACACATAAGTATGCCCACTGCAAGACTATGAAGGCATACCTACTACCACCTGAAGTCTGTGCTTTGCATTTCATTAAATCTCCTAAGAAAACCACATCATCTGTATTTATTTTGATGGTGTCTTTCCTCTTAGAAAGTATTTTATCCTGATCTCAATTCATTTTTACTCAAAGTGCTTCCCATCCCCCATGGATTTTGAGCTACATGTTACTTCTCCAAATACTCACGGAGACTGGTTTATGATCAGCGTGAAGAAGTGTTAGTACCTGTGCTTTTCTTCTGCACTCCTTCATAAATTACACAGTGTGTTATGTAGGAGCCCACTTTTAGTTTTCTTCTTGCCTAGGGGCTGATCTGCTTATCAGGCTAATTAATTAAGATTTAAAACTGCAGATATACTACTGTGATTTGAAAGCCATATCCATTGGAAGGTGCCAGGGCAAGCATTAAAATCTTTGAAGAGAAAAACCAGACTTCTTAGTGCACTATTATTTTAAGCCTCTTTGCCTGAATTTCTAGCATAATCTCCTTTTGGGTTAAAACTTCTGTATATTTTTCAATGATACTGATGATACTGAACTATTGTTAATGAACTCTTAGGAATGTGGGAAAAATTGCAAGAATAATGATAAAAGTCAGCTATAGCCTATACGCTTCCTATATTAAATATTATAAACACAAGTTGATAAATATATCTATACATTGGAGGAATGTGATTTGTACTTTCACATGCTTACCTGTTAGGAGGATGTCAGAATGTCTGACGTGACTATGGTTATAGCAATCTGCCTTTCTCCTGTACTAATAAAGTGTTCATACCAAATTAAGCTTTTATTGCCAAAGAAAACAAAGTCTGTCTTCCTATTTGAATTCACTGCTTAATTACTGCCATATAGAAAATCTTTGGGGTGTTTAGGTATGTATTCCAGAATGAATTTACCCTATGAATAAAACATCTCTTTAATAGAAGTTGTCCTTGCTACTAAAACAACCAAATAAGACAGCCTCCATTTTCTGTATTTCCATGCAGTAGTAACTTTGAGAGGAAAGTTTGGTCAAAGATTTAATTTGCTTCCTGTATTATGTCTATGTGTCTGGGTGCGTATGGCGAGCATGAGTGTATGTAAATACATATGTGTATAGCAGATATGAGTGTATTAGACTGTGTGTGCCTATGTACGGCGTAGTTATGCACACACAACCTAATATGTAGGTGGAAATATGTGAGTATAAATATGTATGAAAGTGTAGACAAGGTGGTGAGCACACATACAGTGTTTGGGAATGTGATTAAGTGTGTATAGGAGAGTATTGCTGTAGGGAAGAGGTGACAAACAAGTGACACCCATGCCAGAGTGGGCTGTGTGTATCACTGAAAGCTCTCAAAGGTTTGCCATCACTGGTAGAGGGAGAGTGAATGTATTCATGTGTACATTTGTGTACAGCATGTGCATGTATGTATAAATATATGAGAGCATGGATGAGGTCATAAGTATAGGTAGACAGTACAAGTGGGTGTCTATGTGCAGTGAGTGTGTAAAGGGGTGTGTATGAGAGCACTAAGGTGTGTGGGTGTACTGGGATGTGGGTTCATGTGTACATGTCGGGATATCCTCCAGGTGGATATACATAGAGAAAATATGTTATAGAAATTAACATGCTAAGGAATGTTGTCCTAAAATGTGTATGTTTCCTTTGGACACTGAAGGCTAGTTTAGTGATCCTGATATCAGTACACAATGGAACATGCAGTGCTGTCTCACTTGACTCTGATGTTTGTGAGATAGTGAGTGCCTTCCAAGAGGATTCTGATCTTGCCTTTTGTTACTTTTGATTCTAAACATGCTCACGGTGTGATTTAGTCATTATTTGCAATTAAAATTCCCCTAATATTTTCATTTTTGTGAAACTAATGACCAATTTTAGTTAACAGATTTAGGTTCCATTTCTTTAAACTCTGAAGCCTATCAGAATGATAATACAATAGCAATAGGACATTGAGCTAGCAAGCCAATCTATAAAATTATGCAAGAGTTTATCTGGATATGTTGAACCCAACAGGTGCCACGTTAGGGAGAATCAGCACTTAACAAGCTACAAAGCCTGTCTTTGTAAAGAAACATGCATATTAACTGCAAATGTTTTCATAACAACTAAGTAGCTGGACATGGTGGTGCATGCCTGTAATTCCAGCAACTGGGAGGCTGAGGAAGGAGGATTGCTGTGAGTATAAGGCCAACTTGGGCTACATAGTAAGGCAAGCATAGCCTAAAGTACATAGCAAGATCCCATCTCAAACAATCAAATTAAGCTAAACCAACCAAACAAACACAAGTAAGTAAATTGTGAGGACTTCTTAAAATTTGAAATGATCATTCATGAGCAAAAAAGACCAGAAAAAAGAGAAGACTACCTGTAGTTCTATTTTCCATGAACTCAGTAATAAAAATATATATATTTGCATTTATGTTTATCTTATATGTTTATTCTAACAACAAACATTTATCTTTATTACTTCTAATCACTTGATTAGGGACTTAGATTAAATAATCATAACAATAATAGATATAGTAGGTAGCAAACATATAGTTCCTAATAAGGATTAAATACTCCCTAGGCAGTGGCCTAATTTTTGTGTTGCCTAGTGAGCATTTTTTAAAGGGTTTTAGAGGAGCAAGAAATAAATAACAACAAAAAATAAACAAGAATCAGGGGTTGGGGATTTAGCTCAGTGGCACAGCAACTGCCTGGCAAGCATGAAGTTGTGAGTTCAATTCCCGGTACCAGAACCAAAACCAAAACAAAAATAACTAAATAAACAGGAATGTATGACAGAGATTACAAAGCCTAGAATAATCAGTATCTGGCACTCTGTAGAAAAAAATCGCTATACCCATTCTAAAGTTTTACCATATATTGACAGTTTAATGCTCTAACCCTATTATTACTGCTCTGATTTTTTGTAGAAGAAATTGAATTGCAGAGGGAATTCAGTCTTATTTCAAGGTCACTCACCTGATAAGAGTCATAAAAATGGTCAAAATCAATCAGTCTTATTCTAAACATAAATTATCATGTTTCCTGCTCCATAAATGGCCAGTTTTCTTCTAATCTCTGGAATTAGCATATCTGAGAGGAAAATGATGTTCTGGTCTATATGTACAGGTGCATTTTCCTGTGTGTGTGCATATGTGTATGTGTATGTGTATGTGTGTGTGGACATAGACATATACTTATTGTTTCTTATCCTTTTCTTTATTAGTACCTGTTTGAAATACATAATGTCACACTCCTTGTGGGAACTTGGTACATGTGCACTGATGCATCTTCTTTCCTCTTTTCATCCCTTTTCCCTCCCTTCACCTCTCCTCCCTTCATCTCTTGATCCACTTCCTCTTAGAGAAAGATGTCTTTTCCTGCTTTCTACTGCCTATCTTTGATTTTGTTCTTTATTTATCCATTGGCTTTCTTATATGAGAGAAAGTTTGCTTGTCTGATTTATTTCACTTAACATTATGATTTAAAGAAGTATCCTTTTTCTACAAATGACCCAAGATTATCTTTTTTTATGGCAGAGTAGTCCTCCATTCTGTGTAAAAAACACACTTTCGTTATCAGTTCCTCTGTTGATGAATATATAGCTGGTTTCCAAGATTTAGCTATCATGAATTGGATTGCTATAAATATGGGTATATATTTATAAGAATTCAGTGTAATTTTATCACTGAGAAGTCCTTCACCCCTATGCACTTTGTCAAAATCAAAACATTTAATTTTTTAGATGTAACTTCATGATTTTTTCTCACACTTAGTTCCATGTTCATTTAGAGTGACCTAACAAAATAGAACACTACCAGTCCTTTTAGATGCAAGCATACTTTTATAATTTTTATCCTAATCTATGCCTATAATACACACCTATTTTGTTGCAATAAAGTACAGAACTGTTTTAGTTTAGAACTTTGCACTGTGTTTTGAGCTAGAATATAACCACTCAGAATTGTTTCAGTCTTTACAAATATATTTATAATATTTCTTCATGAACATCAAATCCACCAGTTTCAGGTAGCAGGGAATGGAAAAGCTTCAACACAGTTTTTTTGTAGTTCCAGGGTGGGAGTCAAGGGTAAGCGTTTCCTGAGTTTAATGACACCATCATAAAAAAGAAACAGAAGGCAACCGAAGAGAAGGCAGAACGAAAAATCTCCTGAACTTATACCCGAGATTCTAACTGCCCCC